GAAGATGGTGTAGGGTTCTAAATCAATTTACATGGGTGTGTGCAGGCGCGTACGCAGGATTTTTTCAAGGGGGGGGGTTTTAACATTTATAAATCGGTCCGAAAATTTCGCAACGACTCAGCCAGCCGCTGAATAAGCGGGGGGGGGGGGGGGGGGGGGGGGGGGGGGGGGGGGGGGGGTAAGAGGACACATTTTTTTTTTTTTTGGTCCCAAAAAAATCGCAACGACTCAGCCGACCGCTGAATAAGCGGGGGGGGGGGGGGGGGTAAGAGGACACTTTTTTTTTTTTTTTTTGGTCTCGAAATTTGGAAATTTGACATTTTGCTCCGTTGGGGGGGGGGGGGTAAGGTCAACTTTTTTAGGTCGGCCATGAGAATAATTTTTTTTTTTTTTTTTTTTTTTAATAATTAAAAAAAAAAAAAAAAAAAAAAAAAAAAAAAAATCCAAAAGGGGGGGGGGTTTTAGGTTTTTTTAGGGGGGTTTACACACAAAAAAATTCCAAAGGGGGGGGGGGGGTTTAACCCCCCAAACCCCCCCCTGCGTACGCGCCTGGGTGTGTGAGTATAATCCGTAAGAAAGGTCGGAGTAGAGGTTGTTGTTTAGAGATAAAGCTGACTTATTTCTAGTCACGCAAGAATATTGTCAAAAATAATGCCTGGAAACAATAGCACATTGATGTAAACTGTGAGGTGTCTGAATCATCAAATGGATAAGAATTTGACTCAATCTTGATGAGCAGTACATGGAATGCACTCAGAACTGATATGAGATGACCATTTAGTCAAAACACTGCAGCTAATTCTTTTCATACTTTTCATGTGGAGATGATGCGGTATTGTGGTTCATTCACTTGACTCTTAAACCAAGGGTTGAGGGTTCGAATCTCAGCCAGACACTAACGTCCTTTGGCAAGACATTAATCTACGTTTGCCACTCTTTTCCCAGGTGAAAAAAGGAGACATGGCAATCGCTAAGGGAAGAACAGTATTGCGGCTGATGAGGATACCATGTGTAAACAAACTAAATATTATTAATTTACTTAGAATATCACCAATATATGATAGGGGTATTTGAAGGGGACATATTTTCTATGATATTTTTCTAAACTGACATAAAAAGGAATCAATTGGAAAAAAAAAACAGAAATATTTCAGAACCCAACCTTCTATGTAAGTCGATTACATCTTAGAGCATTATTACTGGTAGGAGTAGATCTTATTGGATAAACTGTTCAGTATGGGAATAATCTATTGCAAGGTACATACTTATGAAGATTATCATCTTAGACCTCCATTGTATGTAAAAATGCTTTATTTCACTGCGGAATGTTGGCATGTGGTTGTAAGCAAATGAACCATCACATAAGACTTGTCTTCTTGATATAAATATACCTTTATTGAAGGCGGTGGCCGATGAAAGGGGTGGGGGGGGGGCACAACGGGCCCTTCCCCACATTGGCATAGCTGAAGTACACTACAGGATAACCTGCCCGTGAATTTTTTGGCAATTGTTGCCCCCTTTTGTGAAATACTGGACTCACTCCAGCTTAAAGGGATAACAAGTTTTTACCACAGGGTGAAATCACCATGATACCCGTATATTTCAGATATTCGATAAATTCAATTATCCAGGAAACCATAAGGACGGTGAGCGACAATCGTTGTAGACAAAATTATAGAATTGCATCAAAATGAATAACATCAATAGTGAACCACTTTGCACACGTCCAAAGCAAACTATATTTTAAAATCGAGGAATTTTATTTTTCAAAATACTGTAATAACTCACTTATAACCTCCATTCAATAATTATTTTCTGTTGTTACAAAACTATTGAAAGCGGACTTATGAGGCTCTATGCAATAGTTAGAAGTGAACCTTTTCTATCCCTGGCATTCCAGAGGTACAATTGCTCATTTTTCTGTTTGCTTTATTTTTTCTTTGTCATAATGGTAATACAATCTCGGTTGAAGGTTGAATACTGCGATTAATGTGAACTCCATCTACAAACAATCTTTTGATTTTGAAAGAGTGAAAATGCATGAAATTGAGTGTTCTTAAACGAAATACACATGGTTAATCGAGATATGAGAGGGAGGAAGCGGAATGTTTGTTTGTGTATACACTTCATAACAGGAAGAAAGAACCGTTATCTCCGAGATTTCTGCGCATTGAAAAATCCCCAACATTTGCCAACATTTTAACACAAGCGATCCTTTTTTGTCTCATCACTGTGAGAAATAATGGGTTAACATCTTCCCAGCATTAGATGATTTATATGTTTATTAAACCAACGTTAGGGATTTCATGCCTAATTTGGATAAAGTTTTGCCCAAATGATGATCACATTATTTCACTACAAACTGAGCAAAACAAAATCGCTCAACTTGGGCATTTTAACTGCCCAAATGTTGGTCAAACACAACTTTTTACTCAGCATTTTTTTGTTGAGATCAGTCCTGATGGGGGAAAGTGAGATAAAAGTTCTCTCTAGGTATAAATATCCAGGACTATTCAGGCATACATGTACATGATGTATTACCTCTTTAAAGATGAAGTTGAGTTCTGGTCATGCGATTGCATCGTGAAATAAACGGTGTGGATTCGATCAGAAAATGTTGATCATTTTTCTCTGATGTTCTTCCACACTTGCATAATAACAATGATAATGCTCACAAATTATTTTTCACCTCTCACCAGAACTCAATCTTCTCGTTAAATGTTGACATGACAACGAATACTTAAAAAGTTGATCTATGGAATTGGCCTTCACTTCAAACGCAAATAGCACTCCACCATTTTCTCACATTGGTTAATAATTATTAGGTGAAAAAGACCAACAGCAATCAACAATAGAACTTATACGAAGTGTACGCAAGATTTGCGCAAGATGAAGCCACCATACTTTCAAAAGAATATAGCATTAAAGCATTGATAACCTTTAATTTCGCATAGATGGATGCATCAAATCGGGCGAGGATGAGTTTTGTTGTGTACAATGAATGACCACAAAGTAAAAGAATTTGGCTTTCTTCAGAGGTTAAATATATTTTCAATGAATTATCCGCCAGCCCTGACCGAAAGGCCGTAAATCTTACCTGCATTTCAGTTTTTTTTTATTTGCTCTGTACCATGCCAAATAAAGAAAAAGACATCTCTTTAGAAATATGCAATTTGGTATTTTCGCATGAGTAGTTAACAATGAACATGACAGGTTGTATACTCTTGCGGTTTTCTGGTTTTTCTCACACAGAAGAAATGGGGTTTGTGTAAAGCTAGTGTTTAGGGGTTGTTCAAATTCCCACAAACGCCCACTGTATAGGGTATTTGCAGTCCATTAATAACAATGATCTGGTATAAATGTGATTTTAAACATCTGCGAGTTTGGAATGTATGAACTTAGAAGACGATAATAGAATCACTCATGCACTTGGAATGTTTACGATATCTTGATAAGAAAATTGCTCTCAATATTCTCCTGTGCAAATGGACTTTCATTCTCGTGAGTTGCACATGTGTGTTTAGGCGTAATCGTTTAGGAGTCACACCTTTGAGGTGGAAAAATTTACATTGCACCTGTCGTAGAGGTGCAAATTTGCACCCTTCCTAAGTTTACTGAACTAATTCATTGCTTATCAAACACATGAATGAGACAGGAAAACGTCATGTATAGGGATAGGTCGTGTATGAGAAAGACGTTTTTCCCTCTCTTTTACATCGTTCATAATACACATTTCAAGGAAAACCATGAAATTGTAAGATTTTCCAGAATTGTTCTCATCGAAAGCATCTATGGACATTGCAATATTACAACATGAGGCAGCATCACAATTTATTTGCGTTCTATGTAGTTTACTGTTAATTTTACGGTTTTAAGCCTGTATAAACAAGACAACTCCTTGGTATAAATCATCTTACGGCAGGCTACACAACCGTTAACGCTCAAACACAGGCATGGGCCGATCTTTGGGCTTAAAATATGTGATTTATTTGCACTGTAGTGTCAACATTTATCTGTTAACTCCCAGCCTCGTTAAATCGGGGGTAAGTCCCCTTCCTATCACGCGATTCGCTGACTGCGATTGTGACGTCACATAAGCGCTTATCTTCTTTGTTTGTGTATAGGTGATTGGGGTTTGGATGGAGCGTGGACGCGCAGCAGTTTGAGTGCTGGTGAGGTTATACCAGACGGCCTTCATCCGCTTACACGTTGAGTGATGAATAGCGGCTCGCTCCCTTTTCGGAACTGAGCGATAGACAATTTACTTCAGTTTCTTCTCTCGAGGGATCTATTTTCCCTGGATAGTTCTCCGTCTTTCATGTTTATCTGAACTATTATATCTAGTGAACTTCGGCAGTGGAACGAGCTTGGTTTAAAAGTGAAAGGAACCGAAATACCAGCCTTGTAATCGGACACATGTGGAATAGTTTCGTAATGGTGTCATCATCATCAATCGTAACCAGACTCGATTCTGTCAAGTGGACTTTATGCTGAAACCGTTCATATTTGTGGAAACGTAAAAAAGCGCTCTCGCGACGGATTTTTTAGGCAGATAGATATTTCACCTTTCACTTCGCAATATAAATGGGTGCAAGATAATTTACTTCGGAAGTCGGCAGTCAATGCGTGAAAGGTGTTGTTATCCACTCACTCACCAGTGAAGAAGCTAAATGCTTGTCAGATATGACGTAACCTGGTTCAAGAAAGGATTACCAGTCTTCTTTCTCTCCCGCCCCGAGGCTTTTTGGTCATTCAGTGTGTCGTCTGCTGTGAGTGTGAGAGCTAGCTGGTGATCATCGAGGAGGAGCGATGCGTTCTCTCCCATGCTCACGGGTCAAGGACAGGGGTGAACAGTAGAGAAACTTTAATGGTCTGCACATTGACTGTCGTTTGTCAACTGTCTGGCAAAGTTTTGTTAGATGCCACCGAAATCTGAAACATGTCATTTCCATCCAAACTCTCCTAGCTCCTCCAACACATGGACACATTGAGACGGATTTCATTCTCAGTTTATCCTGTAAATTTAGTAGAACCACAGTGATCGGGATATTACGACGCTTAACCTTACTCTTGGATTATATTAAAAAGGATATGAACATTATTTGAATTCGTCTAATTCTGATGCAGCTTTTGTTTCTAACAGTGGGATTTGATTTACCTAACATGGAAAATTATACGGCTCCACCGGCTAGTCTGCTAAGTACATCGAGCGGGTCAGCGATGGTTTCCCCGCCCGCCAGTACGGGGGATTCGGGCGAATTGTTTCGATTCACCAACTACACCCAACGGGCCATCGTGGCGACGATGTTCATCATCGCCTGCGTCCTCGGTACCGCAGGTAACTCGCTGGTCATTCTCGCCGTCGTATTCTCGAAAAAACTACGAACGATCACGAACGTTTTCGTCGTGAATCTTGCTGTCGCTGATCTCCTCACCTCGTTAATTCTACCATGGAATGCTGTGGCGTTGCTAAGTAGAGATGGCTGGCCACTCCATGAATGGGTTTGTAGCGCTGCTGCAGGAATCCTATTCACCTGTGTTGGATGTAGCACTTACACTCTAGCATCAATCGCCTTGAATCGTTGTATCCTCATCACCAAACGTCTTCAAAGCTACCAAGCCATCTTCAAGATCCGTAACCTGGCCATCTGGATCTCTCTAACCTGGATCGTACCCTTCGTTCTCTGCGTCATCCCTGGGTTCGTCGGCCTGGGCCAACTGGGCTACAACGCGAAATACAGCACCTGCAGTCAACAGTCCAAACATGAGTATTCCAACTACTACGATATCCTCCAGGCTCTAGGGATCTATCCCATCCCGCTCGTCATCATCGTCGTCTGCTATATCAAGATCTTTCTTCATGTTCGACATCATCTCAGGTCGATGCTCTCGACGTCGGTGTCATGCCCGAGTAGTAATGACAACGAGCTCTCATCCTCTGTCAATGATACATCAGTCCCCCATGTTAACAGGTTAGTTACTTTTATTTGCAGGATATTAGTTTACTTTAATTTGTATCTTTATTCTCAGTAGGTGTACCGAATCCAACTACTATTTACTTATCTGTGTACTCCACAGTCTACAGACTTCAGGACAGCTCGAAAGGGCTGTTACAATTACAGAGATATTTCAGAGGAAGAAAAGTTTAAAGCTTATCTGCCATAGTTTACAGGAGGGATTAGACCGCTCTGCAAGGTCACTGGACAAGTGGTTATCTCATCAACTCAGCTCTCAGTTAACATAAGAAAAAGAGGATCATGGGGGACAAATGGTCACCGATTAGGCATTGTTTGTTATATAGAGGGCGCAAGTAGCTACCAGTAGTGCAGTGGGCCTTTAAATACCCGGTTCCTCTGCCAGAAGGAGAGGAATATTTCCTTCTCAACTGACAACGTACACAATTTCACAAATAGCGTCCTTTGGCAAGACATTGATCTGCATTTGCCACACTCAACCCAGGTGCAGGTCTGGTAGGATTATTCATTGAAATGCAATGTGCGCTGTTAACGGCTAGGGTAATAATTTCCAAATCTCTTTTTGAAGCGCATAACTCTAGTCAGAGACGTTATTTCATCATGTAAATTTAAATGTATAATACTCTATACAAGAATATTTTGGCGGAAACCTTGTGCATGATGTTTTGCACGATCTTGTTAATATTCCTCTCACCATTTTTCTGGGATCGATGCGGTGAGAGGAATGGAAAGAAACAAATATCTCTGAAGCGTAAGATAATTATGTCCCCGTCGATTTGATTGCAAACCATCAACTCCTCCTGGCCAAATGAAAGTTTCTTTCCCACATATTATTACACCTGACTTAATGAGAATAGGAGCGTATGTCTGTGGTCACATGCCCATTGTTAACCGATTCGTTTTTTTCCGTCTCCTGCTGTTGTATTATGGACCTTCCATGGCCATTGATGTATCCTGTTGATTTTTGCAGCCGAAAATACAACTGAAAATACACCGCGGTCAGTCTGCAGTCGTATATGAGATGTAACAATGTTGGATTCGACTCTACGCCTCGTGGAAATCCATTGTTTTCATCTGCAGACAGAGTTATTGTTATGTTTGAACGTATAAACCTTCAAATTGGTTTAATATAAGAAATAGGTAGACTGTAGGAAAGAATGATTGCAAAATTCACTCCGCTTTTCTATCTATGTATGCAGATGACGTTGTGTGATTTGTACTTAAAAGTATAGAAAGGCAAACATTATGTTATTGGAATTCGGGTCATGAGGTAACAAGGAAGAAGACACAGGGGAAGAAAAAGAAAGAGGGAGGGAGGGAGGGATGGAGAGAAAGATAGAGAGAGAGAGAGAGAGAGGGTGGGAATCAATCTGATGAATACCAGGGCGTAGACAATCTAAATTTGTTTATATCAAACGGAAATGGGATTAGGTCATTAATTCCCTTATCGCAACAACTGTACAAAACCGAATCAACACCGTTGTTCATCCAGGGAGGGGGGGGGGGGGGGGGTATCCGTGCACCCCTTTCCGGACTTGCCCTTCTCATCGTGTATTCATATCCATTGTAAAACCAGAGACATGTCATTACTTTATTTCTCATACAATGATCATGGAATTCAAAAGCATGTCATTGAATAGGCGATACAGCAATTTTAGTGACTAGTCTATACAATATTCAGAAAATAGTATCAATTCTTCAAAGTTCATAAAAGATTTGTGAAACGTCATGCACGCAATATCATATAACCTGAGCAAAGGCATGGTGAAATCAATGGGATAACAATTTATAAAGCAATTGATAAATAGTGAGGGAATGAAGTCACAAACTAATTTGCAATTTGTGTAATGATTTCCAATCATTGTTCCATACTTTTTCATATTTTCCCCAAAATTAATAACTTCCTCACTAGTTATCCGATTTTACTGATTTACTTCAATTTGTTTTGCTCTGTTTCTCTTGTTTGTCTGCATCTATTAAAAGGAAATTAATTTTGGAGTGGACTTGGCCTGGAAATAATGTTATTTTGCTTCTGTAAAACGGCGTTTTCTTCAAATCCTCTTGGAAAGAAGGTCGAATCGATCTTTCTCCATCTGCAGGTCCAGACTTCAATCGTTTTTTGTTTTAAAACATTATAATACATGTACATCTTCTCGTGTTCTTCATATAACTAGTAGTATTCGAGTATCAGATGTTTGATTCTGGTAATGATCAGATAATATCACACCCTTTTTAGAGTATCTCCATGGTCATACGATCACTGGGTTCGGTCTCGGAACACTGACTTGGTTGTGCTTGTATCGCACTGTCATGGACGCCTGTCTGTCAGACCAAATTCTCTTTCACATCACTCCTGACAATATTTCTGCGTAGTCTAGCAAAGGACAAAGGAGATTCGTTTACAAGAACCAGAGACTTACCAAGCAAGGCCCTGCATGCAGCATGGGTGTACCCATGTTCCTGCTGTATTCCTGCAAGGTTCCCCTGTCGGATCACCACTTGACTCTTGCAATTTGCACGAACTGTTCTTGTCTTCTCTCGTATGAACAGTTGAGATTTATGCGCTAAATTGTATTCAATGGCTCAACTGATATCTTGAATTGAAGCAGTAAAATTGTTTTTGTATGCTAAGTGGTACGTACGATCAGGACGTTAGACTGCTAGGGATTATATTATGTCGTTGTTGTTGTTGTTTCGACCTTCCCCAAAGGTTACACAGACTAAACTTTCCATTATTTAAAGAGAAGGTTGAGTTCTGGGAAGAGGTGAAAAATAATTTGTGAGCATTACTCATTCTTATTATGCAAGTGTGGAAGAACATCAGTTAAGACATGTTCCCTGAAAAGCTTGGCTCTTCAAATGCCTTCATATTCTAAATATACATGTAACATCGTAAAAATCGGGGGCCGGCTTTTTACGCCACGTGTTCGTGTAGTCCCATATACATCTTTCTGTGCAAGTGTTTGTAACTTTACCAAGACTTGGCCACATTTCTTATCATTTTGATGATTCCAGAACCTTGCAATACACACAAATTCTTATATGCTAGATGATCAACCTTTTCTGGTCGGTTCCACACCGTTTCTTTCACAATGCAATCGCATGACCAGAACTCAACTTCATCTTTAACAGTAAAAGATTTTGTTAACATTTTACAGTGCAATGAACTTCCTGAACACTATCCCAAGTCAACTATTCAACAATATTTGTTCTCACATTAAAACAGAACCTGCTTGGTTGTCCTTCCCAAACCGCAGCAATGCAACGGTGATGTGTTTGATTGGTTTATGAACTATTCTTCGACAAGCACCATACACACATCCTAACCAGGGACTTCCCAAGTCCCTGTCCTAACCAACACTCTCAAGACTGCATGTAGACTTTTGAAACTAAATGTTAATGAACTCTGTCCGGAAATCTGTTCGATCATTAAAACATAAAATGACTGAAAGGACAGTCACATTCCTTCAAACCAATAAACGTATTAAAGATAAACTTTGGTACTGGTAATGCGATTGTATTGTGAAAGAAAAGGTGTGGAAAGGATCAGAAACAGTTGATCATGTAGCATGAAAGTATTGGTGGGCACTGCAAGGTTCTGGAGTCATCAAAATCATAATATATTTGACCGAGTCTTGGTAAAGTAACAAGCACTGTACACAGAAAGCTATATATGGGACAACACACATGGTGTCGGGGCTAGTACCTTGATTTCCTTGTCTTTCTATGCTCATTACTCAGCCAGTATACATTTTCTTCCAAAATTGTTTTGCACATGTCATTTATTTGTAATCTTGAACATTCAGTGTAACTTTCGTTTGATTCTGTGAGTATTAATTTTTTTTTATTACCAGAACTGGAGTTTATCTTTAATCTGCTTGTGAGCAAAGTGTTTCAAGTTAATTACACGAATTGAAACAAGATGATTGTTTGTGAGGCTGCTGTACACAGATTTTTATTTTCGTACAAATCACAGTCTATACAACATATCAAAGTACAACTGCCGAAAGCAAAAGCAAAGCCAACACCACACCACGACCGTTTGGTTGCGGTGGATTCCATGGTTTGGAGATATACCCATCGCATCATGCTGGTATTTAAAGAGAAAATTGAGTTTTGATAAAGGTTTGGTAAAGGTGGAAAACAAAATTGTGAGCTTTCTCATTCTGATCCTTGTCATGTCAGTTTGGAAGAAAGTCATAATAGCAGTGTCCTCTGAAAAAGGATTGCCATTTAGATCATAGATGGCCTCGTATTGAAGATATGACATTCAAGAAATGTTGAAGTCTTTGGACCAAACCAATCAGTCGCATACACATGTAGTCCCAGCTCAGATACCCATTGGTATGTACAGTGCGTGTGGCTTTCATCAAGATTGAATCCTTTTTTTTTGTCAATGTGACGATTCCGAAACCTCAGTATGCAATTTACCTTTTCATAATCAACCTTTCCCAATTGCCCCCAGACAATTTGTTTTCTTCCAAACAAATAATCTTATTTGCATGACCAAAAGTTAACTTTACCTTTAATATTTCATGAGGTTAGGAGAAGGATTAACCTGCTACCGATTGTCTGTCACAGACAATATAAATCATCACTACAAAGATCTAATTTGGAGGAACACATTGTCGACGGGGGATATGAATATGATATAAATTCAATTTGAATTGTTCCTGGCCTTAGGCTTAGGCTTCATGCGTAGAGAGAGAATGGAATAGGACCATGAGAAGAGAGAGAGAGAGAGAGATAGGGAGAGAGAGAAAGAGAGAGAGAGAGAGAAAGAGAGGGAGAGAGAGAAAGAGAGGGGGAGGGGGGGGGGAGGTAAAAGGGGGAGGGGGTTAACATGGTTAATGCAATAGAATGATGCACTTGTTATTTTGACCCAGTCAGTAACCTAGTTATTCAATAAAGGGAAGAATAATATCATTACTGGAATAACTAGATTATCAAAATGAAATGTACCCAGAACAACACTTGTTAGCCCAAATCACGTGGAGGCTTTCGTCACTTTCATGACGTTTTTGAGTTTGATCTGTCTTGTGTGGTATATTTGT